CATTTCACGGTCATCACTAACACTGACGGATACAGCCGCAATATTTTCTTCAGTCCTCACTCTACGTCTGCCTGTTGGTGGTTTAATGTCCAATAATGTAATCTGGATTCGAAATTTAGTCACAAGCTTCCGAATAGCTCCCTCAGTAGGCCGACCAAATTGCCCATAAATTGGAAGCAGTGCTCGATGGACTCTCTTAACCGAGCATGAATTTTGATAGTAAAATTCAATAATTTTCAAGCGTTGTTCGTTCGTAAGTCGATTCATGGTTAAATTATAGACCAAACTGAACAAGTTTGACAATGACACAAGACACGATTCACGCGTCATCTGTCAAAAACAGTGTTGCCAAAAATATACTAGCAAAAAAGTCACCCATTAGCTAGACAATGTATCAGTTTCTTTGTCAAAACATTTTAATGTATTTCTCTAAAATAAATTTGTATATGTTCCTTCACATCACTTGGACAAACTAAGTGGGCATTTTTGTAAGTTGTATCATTTTAATGTCAATAAATAAAGTTGTATACTGTTCCTACAGTACCTATTTATTTCCTAAGGCACTGGCGAGGCTGTGCTGTAGATCTCTCCTCAAATAACTAGACCTGCATCGTACTGATGATTGCTAAAAAGTGTGCAACATGTTTATACATTCACAAAGACACAAAGCAAACATCCTATTCAGCCTGAATCCGCTTGCCAAAGTTCTCTGGTTAAAAGTTCAGAATCTGGTAAGTGCTCTTCGTCAACACAGTCCATACATAATTGGAATGATCAATAACAAAGCATTTTTTTAGAAGGAAGAGTAAAATGAAGGCAAACAACAAAAGAAAAAGGCGTTCCGATACAGATTGGAGCATCAAGAAACAGCAGTCTAAGAAACTAGGGAAGAATAAAACACCCAGAAGTATAACAGACTCAGATCTAGAAGGCTTTATGAACATGAACGCAGCACTATACCCTTTAGAGTGTGCTCAATGTCCAGAGACGTTCACGTCACATATTGATCTAGCTTTTCATTCATCGAAACATCAAGGTGGCGTCTTCTCGTGCCATCTTTGCAACCACGAGGATCAGTCACCGGAATCACTGAAAACGCACGTCGAAACGCATGACAGCTTTTGTTGTTTAAAATGCAAAAAAGTATTTAACAGCAGGTCCTCAGCCTACCAACACTGGAAGACGCACACTGCTCAGTACGTGAAATGCGAACTATGCGGTCTAAAATACAAAGCTAGGTACTTGAAGAGTCACCAAAAGAAAAAACACTCGGAGATCGCCCCGGAAAAGAAGCTGCATCAATGTTCGTTGTGTAACAAAACTTATCTGTACCACGCGGGCCTTAGGATCCATTACTCCCAAAAACATAAAGAAATGGGCATTGATCTGTCAGTAGTCTGCGACGTCTGCGGCAGGAGGCTGTCGTGCAAAACGAAACTCATCGACCACCAGAGGAGTCACAACGGACAGAGGCCTTACGTTTGTACAGTTTGTGGACGAGGTTTTGTGCAGAAAAGTTTGCTGGTGGCGCATATGCGTACCCACACTGGAGAAAAGCCATTCGTCTGTCCGTATTGTGGAAAAAGTTTTGGACAGGGAGCGCCGTATAGATACCACGTGAAGACGCACACTGGTGAGAAGAAGCATGCTTGTGGCGTATGTGGGAAGAAATTCATCGCGAAGAGCAACATGAGGATTCATCTCAAGAGTTGTGTACCTCCACAAATGAATTCACCGAAATGTTCTGAACAGGCACGAACATGAAGTCGTGACTCAAGTAGTTCAAATTTTCGGAAGTAATTACACAAGTGTATCTAAATTACGTATAGTCCAATCATATTAGCAAATTTCCCCGAAGTAATTGTAGAATCTGGTTTTATTGGTGCAAGTTATTCAAAACGGTTTTTAAACCATCGAGGCATGAAATGGGTAGACCAATTTTTGTGGGAAAAATTTTTATGTGACAAGAAAGAATGAGAAAACGTGTTTTTTGGGATTCATTCGAAAGTGTTGACAGGACCGAAAAAACTTTTCATATAAGATTTTTTGATATTTATGAGACCTACGTGAAAAGATTCGACTAATAGCAAACATGTTATGGCCGAAAAACCAGGCAAAATGCAGGTTTTGGCACTTGTTAGTAATGCGACGATAATTTCACGCAACTACTTGAAAAATTTTTCAAATCCGTGCTATTCATACTTCTAAATAACGACAACAAAGTTGGAGTATATTGGTCAAGTAGTTTTTTGAAAAAAGAAAAGGTAAATGTTATTTTCATGCGAAAAACAAGGGGTACTTTTTTTTCTTCTAAACAAGTTCAAACATTTCGTATTTGTGAATAATTGCACAAATGTGCTACGATGTTCGAAAACATACGATACTATACACATTTTAAAACAAAGTGGGTGTATCTATCATCTCTTGTTGCGAACTACTCACAAATACGAAACGTTTGAATTTGTTTAGAAGAAAAATCGTAACCCATCCTTTTTGCCTCAAAATAACATTTATCTTCCGGAATGGTTTGCGATCCATATCGGCAAGGTAAACTAGTGTATTTTGCTATAAAATGTCCTTTGAACTACCCTGTATATTGCTCAATAAACTAGTGGTGATTGCCGGAAAACAGGTGTTTTGGGATAAACAATTAGAAAATCTCAAAAACTACTTGGCCAATCTACTCCAATTTTGTTGTGGTTACTTAGAAGTATGTATCTTACGAATTTGAAAAATTTCAAATATCTGCGAGAAACCATCGTCGCGTTACCAACAAGTGCCAAAACCTGCAGTTTGCCTCCGTTTTTTTGGGCCATAACTTTTTGCTATTATATACCTAAAAGTCTTATATGAGAAATTTTTTCGTTCTGCCAACGATTAAATCCCAAAAAATGCGTGTTCTGATTCTTTGTTGTCGAATAAAAAGTTCTCTCAAAAAAATTGGCGTACCCGTTTTATGCGTCCATGTTTTGAATACCCCCTTGAACAACTTGCAGCAATAAAACCTGACTTTACAATTATTTCGCAAACCAGGAGTACTTTCGTCTAATATGATTAGACTATATAGATAGGGATAGGGAAATCTCGATATATAATGTAATAAAGAGAAAATGATCATGCGGAGAAAGGTATATAACAAAAAGTAGGAAAATAATGGGCCAAATCCGCAAAAAGGAGGAAAGTGGATTCGAGCAGAAAATAGGATAGGTAACCCGAGCGATACGTATTTCTGCTGGTTGGCTTCATCAGGCCCGAAATGAATGCACATATGAAACTACCAAAGTAGATACACATGCCCACACATCCGGATACGGGTGTAACCTGAGGAAACGAAGATGGAGAGGGAAAAAAACACGACACACGAAGCCCACAACAAGAGCCAACCTACACATTGTAGTACAATGGATGTGTGGGCATGCGTATCTACTTTGGTAGTTTCATATGTGCATTCATTTCGGGCCTGACGAAGCCAACCAGCAGAAATACGTATCGCTCGGGTTACCTATCCTATTTTCTGCTCGAATCCACTTTCCTTTTTGCGGATTTTGCCCATTATTTTCTTACTTTTTGTTATATAATATAATATATATAATCTAAAAGTACTCACAAATGCCGACTACTTAGAGTTCTCATCATAAGTTTCACTACCCAACTCTAAAACTTACATAAGACCATTCGGTTTCTGTATGTCAACAGTGCAATATAAATATATAAAACTAAAAAGCTAAAGAGTCTTTTATTCCTTCTAAACATTATAATATTCCTCACTATGCCGGTTATAAGAACAAAAATAACTCAGACTGGAGCTGGGAATAATTATTCCTTTAAGTGATTTTATTCAATCGATAAAAAGACCGCAGAAAGCGCCATCTATCGCCAAAGTCTAGCGAATACCTTACAACTTTTACGGTAACTAAATAGTGAAAGATGTAACGCATTTTTATACATTGTTGTACCGTATTTACAAGTCATATTTTTTAGGCATAGCAAGAAAGGTAGAAGAAGATCCGTTACTAAAGACAAGGATGGAAAGTTGAGACTGTCTAGAAAAGAAATCAATGAACTGGAGCTAGAAAATTTCATCAACACAAATGCCGTGGTCACACCCTTACGTTGCGAATCGTGCTCAGATAAGTTTACGTCGCATGAAGACCTGGCCTTACACTCTTTAACGCACAGCGATTCAGAAACTTATACGTGCCACATTTGTGACCAATCAGAGTCGACCTCGGACAAGATCGTAACGCACATACGTAGACACGATACGTTTTGCTGCTTGAAATGCAAAAAAACGTTCAAAAGCAAGCTATCTGCTTACAAGCATTCAAAATCGCACCCGGTCGAGTACGTCGATTGTGATATTTGCGGCCTCAAGGTCAAAGCAAAATGTTTGAAGAACCACGTCAAAAACAAGCACTCGGAAGATACCCCGAAGAAAATGTACGGGTGTACAGTGTGTCCCAAGGTATACTTGAACATCGCTAACCTCAGAAGTCACTACTCTCAGAAGCACAGAGAGGTAGGTATAGACGTTTCCGTGGTATGTGATGTTTGTGGTAAAAAACTTTCGTGCAAGACGAAGCTCGTTCAACATATGCGTATTCACACAGGGCAAAAACCTTATGTCTGTACGTACTGTAAGAGAGGTTTTGTACAGAAGACCTTGTTGGACGCTCACGTTAGGATTCATACAGGAGAAAAACCGTACGTCTGCTCGTATTGTGGAAAAAGATTTGCGCAAGGTGCACCCTATAGGTACCATATCAAGACACATACTGGGGAGAAAAAGTTTTCTTGTGCTCTTTGTGATAAAAGATTTATAGCTAAGAGCAACATGAGGTTACATATGAAAACGTGTGAAGCATCTATTAGATAATGAAATATATTGAATTGTATTGAATTTGGGTAATTTTAGGATCAATTGTAAATGGGTTAATATGTGTGAATGGAATTGAATAAATGATATCCAAGACAAATTTGATTTTACTCTTCAGGAATAAACTTTTGGCAGCATCAGGTGGTTCACGATGTAATTTTAACTTTCGCTTTAAATATTTTAATCCGTTGCTCTTTTTACTAAGAAGTTTGGAATTTCATCCGGTCCAGATGACATTTTGTTTTTTTAATTTTGTATGAATCAACTCAAACAACTCCTCATCGGTGAAAGGATCCAAAAGTAAATCAAGATAATAATCCTGACCTAGGAAATTCACAACGGGGGTGCGACCTTTACGTTGGGCCATACCAGATGAATAAGATTTTTTTTATCACCAAAGGTAAGTACTTTTCGAGCATAATATCCTATAGACAATCTAAGCAACAATGGTTTTGTAGGAAAAGGAAACCTAGATTACCTAGGAAAAACCATAGTACTAAGAGAAGACTAACTCAAGAAAAAAATCATAAATTAAGCAAAGCCTCAAATAAAAATTCGACTGAAGAGATGGATCTTCTGGAAAATTTTACAAGACTCACCGCATTGGATGTCCCCTTAGAATGTCAATCTTGCTCAAAAATATTCAACTCTCACCTGGATCTGGGCTTGCATTCGAGAGAACACAGTATCGACGAGACCTATTCCTGTCAATTATGCAAATATAAGAATAAATCACTGAAACTCTTCCGGAATCATATCAACAATCACGACCAATACAAATGTCAGAAATGCAAAAGAACTTTTAAATTCAAAATGTCTGCTCTAAAACACTCAAAGTCACACCCTCCTGAGTTCATAGAATGCCAGATCTGCGGGAAGAAACTTAAACGAGATAGTTTCAAAAACCACCAAAAGAAAATGCACTCGGAAAAGTCGCAAGAAGATACATTCAAGTGCACCTTATGTGATAAGACATATCTTTGCAAAACAAGCCTTAGGAGCCACTATTCACACAATCACAGAGAACTAGGGATCGACGTGTCTGTGGTTTGCGATGTGTGCGGCAAAAGGTTGTCCTGTAAGAACAAATTCCTTCAGCATCAACGGACGCATACTGGAGAAAGACCTTTTTCCTGCACAGTCTGCTCTAGGAGATTCACCACCAAAGAGATTCTCTTATCGCATACTAGAGTTCATACGGGTGAAAAGCCTTTTGAGTGCAAGTATTGTGGCAAGAAGTTTGCACATGACGGACCTTTTAGGTAAGTTTTTAGCTATTTAGTATATTACAGACATTGTTCAATATTAGGCATGTGAAGAAGATTAATTACATCTATAAACTTGTCAATATTCGACACATGTTTTGTTGAGCATGTTACCATCTTTAGGAAGAATGGAAAGCTATTTTATTGGTTCTAACATGTGTAGCTTTTTCAATATCCATCTGAAGATGCTAACATTCAGGGGATGCCCATCAAAAAGACGACACCTCTTTTCTAAATCAAGCACCTTTTTTTCTACGTTTTGCAGGTACCACATAAGGACACATACTGGTGAAAAGTTACATAATTGCCCTCTTTGTAAAAAAGGATTCATTTCTAAAGCGAATATGAGGATCCACGTTAAAAGTTGTGATGGTTCACTCAATAAAAATTAAATTTTACGGCGTCTTTCATTTGACAAAATACGTGCCCATTACTTTATTCCTGTTATGCTTAAATGCAAATTTGATAACAGAAGCTGATTGGGATTTAAATAAATCACTTATTCCAACTTTCTGTTCAATGTAAGATATTTACGAAAATTAAGCTGTCGGTATCGGTGTATATCACTATTTATCATAATAAAACGAAGTGTACTTTTATCCAGGATCCAAATGAGCTTCGATTTTATAAAAGTGAAATACATCAAAACTATTTATGCTGTAAGTTACCCTATTCAACTCAAAATTTTTCATTGTAAGAGTGTTGAAACATTAATTTAACGCCACAGGTAGATTCCAGATGAATGAAACAAGGAACGTAAGATTTGAATCTTATACTGTGGATTTTATGCTGATAAATCTCTATGCCTTCTGGCTGTTAAATGAAATGAATTAACCTTTTACTAACGTTTCGATCACCTCGGTGGCTTGGAAGTTTGTTATAAACAAGGAATTGTGTCATAAAAGCATATATCTGTTTGTTATGTATACTAGATAAATATTGAATAAAATGAGCAAAGTATGAGTGTGTACGTTATTTAAAGCGTAAGTTTGTATGTCTATACAATCTTCCCTTCCATATTTCGGAAATAACACGTCCTCATTTTAGATCGAAAAAGAAGCGAATCAAGAGAGAACCAAAAGAGAAAGGTGAAAAGAAAGAGAGAAAACCCAGAGAGCCAAAAATGAGGAAACCCAAAAAGGAGAGACTAGACTCTGACGATGACGGTGAAGCTCCTAAGAAGAAACGCGGCAGGCCACGCGGCGAACCTAAAGAAAAACCGATGAAGCGTAAGAAGCAGTCTCTGCTGGACGCCGAGCTGCAAAAATTCGTGAACATCAACCAAGTGAGCGATCCGCTGATCTGCGCTCATTGCGACTCCTCGTTCATGTCACACGAAGAGTTCGGTATCCACTCCAAGAAGCACAGCGTCGACGAAATGTACCACTGCCACTTGTGCGATTTCAAGCACGAAGCGACGGACAAATTCCGTGCGCATATCCGTACGCACGATCTGTACAAGTGCGAGAAGTGCAGTCGCATTTTGAAGACCAAGTTGTCTGCTTACAAGCACGCCAAGACTCATAGCGTGCAAGAACTGGTGCAATGCGAGATTTGCGGGAAGAATTTGAAGAAGCAGTGCTTGTACATGCACAAGAGAGTGTTGCACACCAAGGAACGGCTGCTGACCGCCAAATGTCCGATTTGCGAGAAGGAGTATGTGAATGCTAGCAGCTTGAGGCAGCATTACAGCGCCGTGCATAGAGAAATGGGTGTGGACATATCGGTAAGTAATTTTGTAAAAGTACTTATTTTCATCGGATCTTGAACAATTTGCCAAAAAACATTATACGTAGATCAAAAGCCGCTTAAAACATAATCAGTAACGAAAAAGAATTAGAACAAACAGCCAATAAAAATGAGTTCGCTTTGAAATTGTGTAAACAATAAGGCATACGTAAAAAGAAGTCGTGATTGTGAGAATGAAATCATGCACGGTGTCGCATTGTTTCTATAATGATGTGTCGCACCACTTTAATGCCATATACAGGGTGTAAACGTTATGATAGTCATTATTTAAATGGGTGATAAAGTTGGTTAAAAGAAGCAAAGAGTGTCATATAACATGGGGTCAAAACGGCATTTTTTAGAGAAAAGCGACGAAGTAAAATATAATCTGACAACGCCGCAATGCCAGACGCACATTACGACGGAACGCAGTGTAAATACAGATGGAGTTTGTTATTTTTGGCTCTGAGGTATTATTTCGTTATTTGATAATGTACTCGGTGTGTGAAAGTTTATTGAATGTATCCAAAAAATCCACTTATAAATAGGGAACACAATTTTGATTCAAACATTGTTTTTCTTTTTAAAACCCACACTGCACTTTTTTGTATTTAAAGAAGGTGTTCAAAATGTCGTCCTCCACTTTCCACACAAGCTTCATTACGAAGAACCCAGTTTCTTCTTAATCTAGGTCCTCGAAGTTGTCCATTTACTATTTCAGCCGCATTAAACATTTTTTTCGCGAAGTTGTGCTTCAGTTGTTATTGGACCAGCCCCATAAATCATCCCTTTAAGTTCTCCCCAATCCGACTGAGGTCAGGAGATCTTGCTGGCCATTTTCGAGGATCAGGAGCATTTCGATCGATTCAGCGATTTGGATAATGTTCATTCAAATACTGAATGACGCTTCTAAAAATATGTGGTGGTGCCCCGTCATGAAGAAACCACAAATTCTGTCTGCGTTGTAATGGCATGTTGTCTAAAGTCTGTTCCAAAGGTTCTGGTAGATTATTGGCTAGAAAGCTAAGGTATCCTTCTCCTGACAACTTTGGGGGTAACTCGAAAGGGCCAATTACCTGATCGTCAAGAACACCCGCCCAAACATTTATTAAATAATAAATTAAATCTATTAACTTTTGGACCATGGGTCATATGAACTTTTTGACTTGTTTTGACCCTATTACCTATTTCAATAATTACTACCATAACGTTTACACCCTGTATACCTTGTGATGATCTTTTAGTTCTTATTACTAAAGGGTATCCCATAACTAAGGCAAGATTTTAACGCAAGTTTTGAACTAAATGGAGAACACAGTTTCAAGTCTTTATATTGTTATTTTTCATTCATTGCAACGACGATATAATTATTTTAATTTTGTCACGTTCCAGGTGGTGTGCGACATCTGCGGCATGCGCCTCTCCTGCAAGGGCAAACTCGCCCAACACATGCGCACGCATACCGGCGATAAACCGTTCGCCTGCACGTTTTGCCCCAAGAAATTCATCGCCAAGGACATTTTAGCCGCGCACATGCGCGTTCACACCGGCGAAAAGCCGTACGAATGTCGGTTCTGCGGCAAGCGGTTCGCGCACAGCGCCCCCTACCGGTACCACGTGAAAACGCATACCGGCGAGAAGACGTTCGCGTGTCCTCTGTGCGGAAAGGGCTTTATTTCCAGGGCCAATATGAAGATCCATCTGAGGACGTGCAATAACGTCGTAGTTATTAAGTAGACGTGTGAGAATTTTGTGTAGGCGGGTTTTAGTCCAGGCCCAAGACTGTAACGAAGTGACAGTGAAACGGTAGGTGGAATGCACCGAAACTTTTTCACAGCTGAAAAGAAAAAAGTTCTGGATTTAGTTTTCTTGGATATACAGAGTGAGTTATCTAAATTTTGTTAAAATTTTGCGCGATAACAAAGTTGCCTAGGAGTAATGTAAAACTAGAGGACGGTTGAAAAATTCAGGGCCGGACTCGAATTTTACTTTTTTATTTTTTATCAACATGTTTCAATTTTTTTTTTATTTTTTTCTACTACCTGTTTACAGCATTCTAAATCTTTTTCATCTGATAATTTCATGATGTGTATAGAGAATACCAAAAATCAATGTTTTCATTTTTTTGTCAAAAAATGCATTTTTTCTTCAATCGGAACTTGTTAACAAATATGTGTGTGAATATTCCTTTTTTATGGAAAAATTAAACGGGTTATTCTTATCACTTTTTATTTTCGAAATATCTTTGATTTTCTTGCAGCAAAGTGATAAGAATAAAAGTAATCACCTGGTTAATTCATACATAAAAGTGGAATATTCACATACAATTTCAGAGCTGTACTAATATTTGTTAACAAGCTACTTTTATTCTTATCACTTTTTATGCTCGAAAAATCTTTGATTTTCTTGAAAACTTAACTTGCAGCGAGACGAGGTTTCAAGAAAATCAAACATTTTTCGAAAAGAAAAAGTGATACGAATAAAAGTAATCAACTGTTCTATTCTTCCATAAAAGAGGAATATTTACACACAATTTCATAGATGTACTTATATTTGTTAACAAGTTCCGATTGAAGGAAAAATGCACAAAAAATTTTTCGATAAATAAATGAAAATATTGTTTCTCAGTCATTTCTATACGCACCAACAAATTATCAGATGAAAAGAATTTAGAATACTGCTACAAACAGGTAGTTAAAAAAAATCTATAAATATAAATCAAATTACAGACTTTTATTTTAGCTTTTCATACCTATACAACGTTCAATTTTGACACCAAGGAAGTTTATTTAAAATAATATCATATGGAATGAAGGGACTTTATACTCTTTCTAACAGAAGCTACTATGGCCAAGGTTTTTTGGACTTAACCCGTTTGCATTAACATTCGTTGTCTGTGGAACGCGAAAAGTAGTATTTGTGAGTGAAATTCATTCTGTCATGTGGCGGTAGATTGTATCGTTATGTACATGTAACTTTGAGGAGGGTTATTATATGTTTCTATGTATGTATGATCTATCCCTTTAATATATCCTAATAATTCAGACTTTTGATATGTTGTCATTGTCGTATTTATCTCCGCATTTTTCGGCATTCTTTATTCTTCAGTTAAATATGCTGACTATCCCACTTCTAATCTGCTCCCAACGCCCAATTGGACTTTCTCAGTAAACAATGAGCATGTCTAGTAAATTTTGATATCACTTTGCACACATTTTTTATACCCTCCCATCATCATTGTATAACAAACAGTTATATCCAACATTGACTGAGGATTTATTTTTTTACTCATGTTAGGTTTATTTTATTTTTAGTTTTTATTATTATCAGTAGTAATAGTACTCACTCTATAGTCTATACATACTTGTATTATATTTTAACTTAACGTTTTTTCTCTTCTGTGTATATTTGTGAATGTGTATTTGCAAAAAGAAAATACTGTTTCGCCTACTGATAAGAACTATTTATTCTTATGGGACTACGACGTTAGTTTGTTTTTATAATTTCTGATCTACGCACTTACTGTTAGACAAGCATTCTATTAAAAATGGTATCCTTAGACGGATTTTTTATCATTGTAAGATCGTTATAATACATGTATCACGAGGATAGCTCATGTTGAGCATTCCTACTATAGTATATTCAAATTACCTGAGCAGAGAGCGTCAGGTTTGAATACACTATAGTTGCGAGTTTCCACGCGTTGATGAGATAGAGTGTGTTTAAAAACTAAGATGCATACTTTTAACTAGGTATGTAAACGTTTAGTTATAGGTTTTACTTTCGTAAGTTTGCTAAATCCTATATCTTAAGTTAGTAGAAGTTGTACAATTTTATAATTTTTTTCAAGTTGTAATCTGGGAAATAAAGCATGCAAAAACAGTATCCAAACATATCATTAGTCAAAAATATTTGTGTGTAACATTTTCATCAATTTTGTTGAACACTATTTTGTGATGCAGGGTGCTCAAAAAATAAATGGAGTTATTTTAGTGGATAATTTTTTGTGAAATTTTTTTTTATGAACTTGGGACGGGAAATGCGAGTTTTTCATTTTTTTTTTAAGATACAAAATAGCAAATTTCAAGAAAATACTTTTTTATTAATATCTTAAAAATTATTCTGTTGAAATTTGGCAATATTAGTTGTTGTATTAAGAGACTAATTTAGCCCTAAATAGATTGAAATTATTAGGTCCAGTGGCATCCCGGGGGGCACCTTACCGAATATTATTGGTCATCTCACTGCTGTTTTTGTAAAATAATTGTTTTTTGTTTGATTAAGCATCTAAAAATACAACTTCTTTGGCTCTTGTATTTTTTCGAATCTCACTTCGTTTTAAAAAAAAAATAAAAACCGTTTTATTGCATGTCGCTGTACAAAATTCGTTTATTAATTTTTGCTAATAATGTGCCTTGGAAATTGAAAAATAATTTCTGCATGGAGGTTAATAACAACAAATACTTTTTGATATATTATTTTTTCTTAATTTATCACCCTGTATCTTGAAAAGTTTCTTCCATATTTCTTAATCGCCCATCTTAAATATCTCCATCTATGTTTCGAACGCGCTATATAGAGCTACCTAACTCCTCAAGTATATTGAACATTTACGAAAAAAAAATTTTTTCTTCGTAGGCAAATATGCAACTTGATATTTCTCAAATTATAACACTTGTAATTGTAGCTTATTTAAGTAATAAATGTAGAAAAAATTGTATGCATGATGTTGCATCTTCTAGTAAGGTACTTCAAAATCCTTGATGTTTTATTTTTAGTGGCTTTAGACAATTAAACTAAGATAAACAAGCTCAGTCAAAAAAATATGTCTTTTGATTTGAGGAATGTTGTACTTCTTACAAACGCTAATAAAGTATCAACCTGACGCATTTTTTCATCTTTTGTGAAGCCAAACAATTTCGAAGGTTGATCATATTTGTTGGGTCACTGACCTGTCCATACAGATTATTAACATCTATTTGGAAGTTTGATTTTTGAAAATCGGTCGATTCGTTTTCGAGAAAATTAGAATTATATTTATTTATCTTAATTTGTTCAGATAAAAAAAACACGAAAATATCACAATTTAAATCTGAATCAATGAATTAAATTTCACTATCCCAAGACTGACACAAATTAAATCTTTTCTTTCACTTAGCAACAAATAACTAAACAGGTATAACAATAAATACAGTTCGCCCAGGAGATCTGTGTTGATGAAAAGAATGCGGAAAAAAATCGGGTTGTTATTTGGTTGTTGCCACTACTAACCTTCGGAATTTCTGTTTACGTTGGTAGTTTCCGTTTTAAATTATAAACGAATTGTAGATTTGGAAAACATTAACGGGCAAAACGACGAACCTTTTGACGTGTCTTGACGTTTTTTTTTTTTTGATCAGCAGTTTTCGTGGTGTTTTCAATTTTTTTATCCGCTTTGTGCAGTTAAGAGTGTGACTAATAATATCAGTGGTAAGTATTTTTTCTAACGGTAAGTATACCGTACAAGATCGATGAAAACTGTCTTGTAGTGCTCAACAATTGTTAAAACTAATCCTCTTCATTATCTTTTACGGAAAGCACCCTTAATAGCATACATTTTCCTTTATGAGGTGCTAATACTACTTTTTTTAGGTCAAAGCCAAAAAAGGGCAGGCCAAAGAAGACCAAAGAGCCAAAGGAGAATAAAGTTCAGAGACGAAGGAAGAATAAAGCAGAAAAGGCGGATGACGAAGAATTTGATGCAAACAACGTGAAAAAACGAGAGAGTGACGATGAAGATTACCTTCCTCTCACGGCGGTGAAAAGTAAGATGAAGCGTGGAAGAAAACCGAAACCAAAGGATCCTGAAAGCAAGGAACGTCGAGGGCGGAAACCTAAGCATAGAGAAGAAGAATATCTCAAAACTTTCGACAACCTGAACGTTCCTGTGAAACCTTTGGTATGCAACGAATGTGAAAAAGTATTTGAGACGCATCTAGATTACGCAATGCATTCTATAATTCACTCGTCAGACGAATTGTATTTTTGTCATCTGTGCGAGTTTAAAAATGAGGACAAAACCTCATTCAAGAATCACATGATTACGCACGATATTTATAAATGCAAGGAATGTAACAAGATTTTTGATAACAAGCGGAGTACATTCAAGCATTCGAAGATTCATACATCACAGTCGTTTGTACCATGCGAGGTAAGCATTTTTATTTTAATTCATTACCAAAATTCACGCGAGATTTGAGCTTGAGAGACAACAGAGTTTCTTGTATTGACTTGTACAGTGCACATAATAGGGTTTTATAGGGTAGATCATTTAAAATTTGAAATTTGAATCGGGTATAAAAAATAGCATCATGTAAATTGACTCTACACTTCCTACGTTTTCGCTGGGTGTTTCAAAGAAAAGGGATGAGTCAAATGGTCATTTCATCAAAATCCGAGCGGCACTTCTAAAGCTATATGCCGTTATAAAATTAGCAAACAGGCCGACAAACAGACAGACAGACGGACGGAAATGGGTAGGCATCCAACAACTATAATATTTCTCTATATTTCTGTCGTTATTGGAAAGGTTGAATGCTGATATTTAAGAATGAAACAAAATCACTCAATCTTATTCGATTTTTCCAATGTTCGAGTAATTTTTCGATTGTTTTTACGGCTCCCTACAAAAATAATGCAACGGGTTTAAATCGCGATCAACTGACATCAGAATTTCCACTGAATAAACAGTTTTCGAATAAGGTGACTAATTGCTCGATTGTTGCGTTGACTATGGCAAGATGCACCATCTTGTTGAAACCAAATATCGTCAATGTCATTCTTGCCACTTTTGGGAAAAAATTTGTTGAGCATGACGCGGAAACGCTCGCCATTGACTGAAACGAAATCTCCTTGCTCATTTTTGAAAACAAATTTCACCTACCTCCACACAGAATTGAGTCTTGCTCTCGGTTCATCTCTCTCCTGGACTACTATACCTCTACCGCACTGATGAGTTGCTAATGAGCACAAAACAGCGCTGTCAGCGGTTGGTTGTGGTGTCAGAGACGAAAGGCAAACATGTGATGTATCATACATAGTACAAATCTTGTGTGCATTTTGGGACGTCTTTATGGACTCCTTGATTTTCATAGACTTTTTTCTCCTTCAGAAAGCCCTGGGTATTTCTAGATTCCTACTGTTCCATGTCAGCGACAGCGCTCTACTATTGTGAGGTTACGTTTTCTTTTTGAATCGTAGAAAATTTCATGCTGTTATAACCACAAAATGGTGACACCGAACTCTAGACAACTATGAAAATCAACGAGGCCATAAAGGCGTCCTATAATTATTATATAATTAAAGAAATATATTTTTCACGCTATTCAATATTTCCATTCAGATTTGCGGTAAATGCGTGAGGAGCGTATACCTGGAGACCCACAAAAAGGCTGTACATGCCGAAGGTGGACTTCCCAGCAGCTTCAGCTGCACACTTTGCGACAAAACTTACAAAAACTCCACAGCGCTGAAGAGTCACTACTCCTACAATCACAGAGAAGTTGGCATTGATATGTCTGTGATATGTGACATTTGTGGTATGAGATTGTCGTGCAAGGCTAAGCTAAAACAGCATATGAGGATTCACACTGGAGACAGACCGTTCCCATGCCCGGTGAGTGTTCTTTTTTATTCGGTTAAATTAGAATTTGTTACTAAAATTTACGTATTCATTCATCAAATATTATTTCAACAAGTAGATGCAGGCATAATAAATCGCAGTTTGAGATAAGGAATTCCAATCTGACAGATACAGCTTTTAAATTAAATTGATGTATCTAGTACAAATTAGACTTGGTCATTACTTGAAATTAAATTCCCAATTACAACGAAAATTGATGTATCTAGTACAAATTAGACTTGGTCATTACTTGAAATTAAATTCCCAATTTCAACGAAAATTGATGTATCTGGTACAAATTAGACTTGGTCATTACTTGAAATTAAATTCCCAATTTCAACGAAAATTGATGTATCTAGTGCAAATTAGACTTGGTCATTACTTGAAATTAAATTCCCAATTTCAACGAAAATTGATGTATCTAGTACAAATTAGACTTGGTCATTACTTGATATTAAATTCCCAATTTCAACGAAAATTGATGTATCTAGTACAAATTAGACTTGGTCATTACTTGAAATTAAATTCCCAATTTCAACGAAAATTTATGTAGCTAGTACAAATTAGACTTGGTCATTACTTGAAATTAAATTCCCATTTTCAACGAAAATTGATGTATCTAGTACAAATTAGACTTGGTCATTACTTGAAATTAAATTCCCAATTTCAACGAAAATTGATGTATCTAGTACAAATTAGACTTGGTCATTACTTGAAATTAAATTCCCAATGTCAACGAAAATTGATGTATCTAGTACAAATTAGACTTGGTCATTACTTGAAATTAAATTCCCAATTTCAACGAAAATTGATGTATCTAGTACAAATTAGACTTGGTCATTACTTGAAATTAAATTCCCAATTTCAACGAAAATTAATGTATCTAGTACAAATTAGACTTGGTCATTACTTGAAATTAAATTCCCAATGTCAACGAAAATTGATGTATCTAGTACAAATCAGACTTGGTCATTACTTGAAATTAAATTCCCAATTTCAACGAAAATTGATGTATCTAGTACAAATTAGACTTGGTCATTACTTGAAATTAAATTCCCAATTTCAACGAAAATTGATGTATCTAGTACAAATTAGACTTGGTCATTACTTGAAATTAAATTCCCAATTTCAACGAAAGTTGATGTATCTAGTACAAATTAGACTTGGTCATTACTTGAAATTAAAGTCCCTATTTCAACGAAAATTGATGTATCTAGTACAAATTAGACTTGGTCATTACTTGAAATTAAATTCCCAATTTCAACGAAAATTGATGTATCTAGTACAAATTAGACTTGGTCATTACTTGAAATTAAATTCCCAATTTCAATGAAAATTGATGTATCTAGTACAAAATAGACTTGGTCATTACTATAAATTAAATTCCCAATTTTAACGAAAATTGATGTATCTAGTACAAATTAGACTTGGTCATTACTTGAAATTAAATTCCCAGTTTCAACGAAAATTGATGTATCTAGTACAAATTAAACTTGGTCATTACTTGAAATTAAAGTCCCTATTTCAACGAAAATTGATGTATCTAGTACAAATTAGACTTGGTCATTACTTGAAATTAAATTCCCAATTTCAACGAAAGTTGATGTATCTAGTACAAATTAGACTTGGTCATTACTTGAAATTAAATTCCCAATTTCAACGAAAATTGATGTATCTAGTACAAATTAGACTTGGTCATTACTTGAAATTAAATTCCCAATTTCAACGAAAATTGATGTATCTAGTACAAATTAGACTTGGTCATTACTTGAAATTAAATTCCCAATTTCAACGAAAATTGATGTATCTAGTACAAATTAGACTTGGTCATTACTTGAAATTAAATTCCCAATTTCAATGAAAATTGATGTATCTAGTACAAAATAGACTTGGTCATTACTATAAATTAAATTCCCAATTTTAACGAAAATTGATGTATCTAGTACAAATTAGACTTGGTCATTACTTGAAATTAAATTCCCAATTTTAACGAAAATTGATGTATCTAGTACAAATTAGACTTGGTCATTACTTGAAATTAAATTCCCAATTTCAACGAAAATTGATGTATCTAGTACAAATTAGACTTGGTCATTACTTGAAATTAAATTCCCAATTTCAACGAAAATTTATGTATCTAGTACAAATTAGACTTGGTCATTACTTGAATATGTATTTCAAAGGACCAATCTACATTAAACGTAACTTTTAAGGGAGATACAGGGCGT